TCAATATTTGTGATGTATTACTTATTGATTGACAATAATTATGTTCGTTAATAATGTAAAGCTCAAACCTGGTGTGGTGATGTTGTTGATAAGTGGTTAATAAAATTATGCCCCTATGAATAGATATTTTTAAAGTAATGTTTTAATTAATTTTTTTAGGAATTTACGGATTTTTAAATATTTATATTATATTATTCCATCATTAGATATGTATATTGTGTTTTGTGTATTAATAATGTTTTAAATGTATTAAAAAAAAAACCGACAAATATTGCTTGATTATTCAAAGAAAATTCTTTCATAACGTACAATAATTATTTAATTAAATTTAAAAATACGATGAAATCTATATGACCTAACAGACATATGTATTATTACAATTTTACAATCTACGGCATTTAAATTTCGCTAAAAATAAAATATGTTCTTTACTACAATGATTTTACTATTGTAACTTGCAAGTCGAAATCGCATTTGAAACAGGACGAAACATCTTCTAACGTGTATAATTCCTTTAAAATAATTTTTTTTAGTATACTTTTTTTTTTCTGTACAGATAATAGGTACTTCTTGATCACAAAATTACATCAACTTTTAAACCATTACAAATTTTTTTTTATTATGATTCATTTTAGATTATACTAAGTAATCAATTTTATGTTATTTCATTGCAATGAATATTTATACATTTTATCGCCCGTGAAAAATAATCAAGCCAAAAAGTATTTTTAATGTATTACAAAGTCCAATCAAATTATTTTTGTGTAAATGTCTCAAGTTTAAAATTGAAAAATGTATAAATAATAATTTATTCATATTCAAAAAGTATTCATCACTTTCACCACGTAMAATATAATATCTTCAGCGAGAGTAATTAATTTTAAACCTCCACGTATATTATTTTTGTGTGCGCGTATGTACCTAATACCTAAACATAAACGTTTTTGGGCGATCTTAACATTTACATTTTTATTACTTATAAGGTCTGATCCCAAACGTCTCCCGTCAAAAAAGGTTTTACGAACAAGCAACAGTTAATAATTCCTAAACGACTCCCGTCGAAAAAAAATGTACAAACCGATATAATTGTATAATTGCAAACTCTACAATAGTTATTGGACATATATACATGCCTGTCTTCCAAAACAGCCTACATAATAACTGCGCGATGTTATTACGCTCCTCGTAATGTTGTTGTTGTATAGTATTTACAGTTCCTGTGTATCATATTTTTAAATTTAAAATGGATAAAACGGAGTAACGAAAATATAAGATATATATATCGTAAAAACCGAAACATTGAACTATAGCTAATTGGAAATGTTGACATTATAATGTTAGTGGCGCATGATTCAGCCAGTGGGATTTGCTTCAGAATTCAGAGACAAACATTCTGGAATTGGAAGAGTGCTAAAATATTTATTTGGCCTTCCTTACCTACCACCGTCTTGGATTGTTTCACAGATGATTTAATGGCTATTAAACCAAAAGACGACAAAATAGATAAAGTTTTCGATTATATTTTTGAAAATGAAATAATTTTAGATAGCCGTTTCCCTTCTAAAATGTGGGCTGAGAGTTCATCTTTTCTTTCTTTGAACACAATCGAATGTGAAGCTTTCCACAATAAATTTAACAATGAATTCAATACTATACACCCAAATATTTTTAAGGTTATTGACATACTAATCAATATACAATCTGAAACGCAAATTAAAAATCGAAGTCATTTTAATTCACCGAGATCGAAAAAAAAACAAGAGCTCGTCGAATAAATTATCTACGAATTTTCATCAAATAAAATAGCACGCATAGACTTTATACAAAAATTGTGCCTAACAAGTTTACCTGATACATGATTTTTTTTAAATATTTATATTTATACATTTTTTACATTTTTTTATATTTTTTTAACGTTAAATATTTAAGATTTAATAATATACTATACTTTTTTTCATATAATTTTAATAATTTCATAGTGTACACCAATACATTTTTAACCACACCTCTTTTGAGGCAGTCCTAAGTCTGTATAAAGCGGGAAGGAACTTGAGTTGTAAAAAACCTGAGTCGTTTAGGAATTTACCTATTCGTTAGAGCGTTAGACTTTTTTGGACGGTATCGGCACAGATGCGGTCGGCACAGTTGCGGTCCAATACCTTTTTGGTGGCACTTGTGGTCACTATTTTTTTTTTACATATATGAACTGGTCTTAAAATACTGATAATATAATAATAATAAAGTTAAACCTATACTATTTTAAAAATCAAACTTTCCTTTTTTATATTATTTTTATATACAAATTATTGGTACAACGTTATCGATGTCAATGCGAAATAGAATAATATCCAAAGATATATGGAATTGCTTCCAAAAAAGACAAAGGACAAATAATATCGTTGAAGGTTGGAACAGCAGATTAAATAAACGATTTAATAGACCTCGACCAACTTTTTTAGCTCTTTATTACAACTGTCTTAAATTAGAAGCTCAGCATGGAGACTTATTGTTTGATCGACAATTTTTAAACTTGGAAGGAAAAAGACGGAAAAAATGTTACATTACACTTGACAGTAGAATTGAAAAAAAAACATTAAAATCATATGAAGAGGACAGAGACTTAAAAAAATGTCTAACAATTCTTTCTTTCATACAAAAAATGGATTAATAGGCAATAACAATTAACCGACATATCTCAATAAAATAATAGCGTCTAAAAATTAATAATTATATATTTTATATTTATATCATAATAGTTTACAATAAATATTTAAAAAAAAAACAACTTTTAAGCACGCCAGTAAATATTAAATAATATTTATTGCCAGTCCTAAGCCTGTAAAATTTCGAAGGAAAGTTAATATAGTATAAGTTTAACTTTATTATTATTATATCAGTATTGTAAAACCAGTTCATATATGTAAAAAAAAAATAGCTAGTGACCGCAAGTGCCACCAAAAAGGTATTGACCGCAACTGTGCCGACCGCATCTGTGCCGTAATCTTTTGGACGGGAGCCGTTTGGAAATTGACCTTTTTGTAAAACGGGGGCGGAATGGGCTACGACCAATTATAATATATAAGTATGCTTAACGTTCACTAAAATTATTTGGTTAGCATAATATAAGATGAAAAAACGAATGAACGTGCAAAGTGCGAATAATTAATGTGTTTGAAAGAGAATTTCATTTTATATTTTTTATCACAATACGAACCTATATAATAAAATATATTATTATATAATGAAATAAAATAATAATATTAATAGTAATATAAGTAAAGTATATTGATTTTTTCATAGATGACGTGTTGTTAAGTGTTTATTGTGAGTTAATAAGAACTTAGCGTTTAAATTCCTATTCGTTGGTCATTGCCAATACCTATATTGAATTTTGTTTGTTTTATTTTGAATGGCCATTGTTCACACATAAATATTAGAATCAGCAAATCAAAAATATTATTATAGATTTTTACACGCAAGAGCAACGCGTTAACCTAAACCACGATCAGTGACATTTAATACCTTCGTAATAATAKCAATTTGCAAGAAAAATGATACAATACAACACCTTAATACATAATAGTAAATCGATTAAAACAAAAACAAAGAATATTTAGCACTTATAGTGTCTTAGTCTAATGAAGAACCGAAAGAGAATACGCGTTTTCTTCCATTACTCAGCTGCTGAAATCGGYATGGACATAAAAGTTCGACGAAACGATCAAAACGTAGTGATACAAAATACAATGTATAACTTATAGCGAGACAACAATAAACTATTAAAATTTAATTGAGACTGAGTACATATATTTACATCGATTATTTAGTGTATTTTTTAAAATATAATTTTAACGCGTTTTATGATAAAATTGGGAAAAAGAAGCATAGAATATTTATTAAATAAAAAAAAATACATATACCTATATATTATATGGTTTTAATGTTCAAACTATATGATACGTTATATACTGTATGTTATACCAACATATTATTTTGTTTAGTTTTTACTTTTCGTAAATTACTCATTTGTGTATATGAAATCGACACTGCTGCTCGATTGTAGTTTTCTAACTCTCCTGGTACGGGTACCGTATAAATACAATATTGCGTACGTCAACTTTTTATACCGCAAAAAAATAAGACAGACGTAACAATAACAACAATAATAATAATAATAATAATAATAATTATAATAATAATAATAATAATAATAATAATAATAGTAATAATATGTCGGTCAACGAATCGACTCGGCTGGAGCGGATGTGGTACGGAAATCCATAAAAAATTTCTTATGACCAGAGCCCAAAGTKGTACCAAGTGTGCTATCTTATATAATATTTTATAATAATTATGTAGGTGATTAAACCCTGTGTACACTTTATCGTACAAATACACATATATAACATAATATATAAGTAAATATGACTAGCTGTCAACTTGAGTGTACTGTATTATTACTATATAACAATGTTATATGTATTACATTATAAACAGTAAAACCTCGTTAAAACGGAACTTTATGGGACAAAAAAAAATTATTGTTCATAATTTACCTACCTAGGGTGTAAATATAAAGTTAAAACGCCTATGATATAAATAGTTATAATAAACTCAAAGATAAACTATTAAATTGTTTGCTTATTAAAAATCTTGTATAGGGAATTATAACTCAGTAAAGAATACAAAAAAAAAATATTTTTCCAAAACTCTGATAATATTTTTTTTTCTGTGGTGGGTACCAGTAAAATCTAAAATATTTATGAATACGATTAATTACATCGTTCAAAGATAAATATTATTGTGAGACATCTGAAATATGAACAATTATTTAAAAATTAACTAAGGGACCACGATGATAAAAAGTAATTTAAAAGGTAAGTAATGATATAAGACTTGTGAAACTTTATTGGTGCGTTAAAAAAAAAAAAAAAAATAATAAATATTGTTTATTCGTTTCACTATACTATAGCAATATATATTATTATTTATACAATTTAATAAAATGTGTGTAGGTACATTAGAAGCATTAAAAACAAATTTCGTTGTCACGTCTTAACGAGAAAAATTCGTGTTTTATACATATCACCGTTTTAACGAGATTCCGCCGTAGTTTAAAGTGTATAATGTATTTTAAGACGTTTAAGTCATCGAAATATCGCAGTATACGGTTGTATCGGTGACGATCGAATGACGATATTTGTTTAGACTTGATTCCTCGAATAATGACTGTATCTGATCACGAACCGATTGTGTGGCGTGTTCAGGTCGGGCTTGTGTCCGGTACAGTAGCTGCACGTTAACCGCCAAAATGCCATCCTGAAGTCCTGACTGACGAACGCGTATATGAAGGGGTTGATGGCCGAATTAATCCAACCTGCGTGAGTGGAACAAAATTAGGACGTTCAATAAAAAATATCAAAAAACATTATAAATCACAATATAATGCACTAAAAACACTGCTGCGGCTGGTAGATACTAGATATGCATTATGATTAGAGCATATTATAAATTATGTTATATTAAAATAGTGAGCCGTTAGCTCACTGTGTAAATATTTGCCTATGTACAGAAGAAGTGATCATCATTCGAGCAAGAATATACCTAGGTCACACCCGTCTAACTCACGCCAATCTCATCAGTAAAAACCAGTACCTTTATGACATGGCGATAAATAATATTATTATGCGATGTGATTCCAACAATTTAATGTTAATATCATAGTGATCAACTGCCCAAAGTCGTAGCGCACAACATTTTTAACAATTCATTTAGAACAAATCAATCGATAGTGACCGAAAAACACAGTAATTGCATATACGTCCATTTTTACAAAACATTAATTCAAAAATTGTAAAATGTACAATATTTATAGTTACTAAATATTCGTGTAGATATGCTTATTTATTAAGTTAATGTACTCTGAAACCAGTGTTGTTAAATTCTCATCAGATTATAATAAAAATAGGTAATATAATATACGTATATTGGTTGTGCGTATGTGCGTCAAAAGTGGCTGAATTTTGATCTGTTTGTAGAGTATAACTTTAGAGACAAGGTTTTAAAAGGTATAGCGAGCGATCGGTTAAGAACCAAAGATAGTGTTTATATTGGACATTTTGTAATTTTCAACATTTTTATTTTTTGTTGTTGCGGTGTATCATGTTGTCGTGTTAACATGAATAATTTTATTACGATTTTCGTCAATAAATTCACAATTCCTGCTGTTAATATTATTCGATTCTTGAGATACCTGAGAAAATTTTCCCTATCCGAGCATATAAGGTTTACGCAGTGTTCGTTCCGTTCAATAAAAATATGAATTTGTTCACGTTCACTTCCTATCCTTTTCAAATTCATGTTTTTTTCTTCTAATAAATGCGTTCATTGGGTCATTTATTTAACTTTTAAAATTTTTTTTATGATAGACATCTTTATAAAAAAATATTATTGTTTAATATATAATTAATCAATATACGTATTTTAAACATATATTTATTAAACGATAAATAAATTGAGCGTCAAAAAAATCATTCAAATTCATTAAAATATAAACGTCGTTTACGTTCACGTTAAATTTGAAAAAACGAGTGACGTTCACGTGTCGTTCACTAAATATAACGTGAGGATTCTTGAACGACGTTCTTTCCAGACACTGAGTACACGGATGCAGGGTTGTCATTATAGTATTCATACCAGTGAACTGCGAATTGGTCATCTATCTTGAAGAGTTTTATTTTCATCACCTATATACTCGTATATATATATCAGTTTTACTACGGTAGGTAGTTAATTATGGTACCCTGCAGTCTCTTAGTTAAATAAATAATATTAACGACACGCGTACTTATTTTATATAATTTTAACGTCAAACGTCAGTCCTATAATATACGAACATGTGCTCAAATATTGGTCGGCGATATGATGATAGTATTGTAATATATATATTACATTTTTATCATAGAATGTAAATAATTATTTTTTCGTTTTTAACACATGCATATTATATGAGACTATACATTCTGAGAAGTGAGAAGCTGGGCAAACACGCAAAAACTAGGAAATGTGAAAAATTGGTATAGCTTATTACGTTTTGTTTATTTATTTTACAAGTCTTCAAGTGGATATGCTAAAATATKTAGTATAGATCGCCTATTTTACATTTTTTTCGTCCAAAAATAATTACGTAAGTCAATAAATTAATGCACACAACATTGATATAACTATTAAATGATTTTAGTTTTTATCGTCTATAGTCTATAACTACATACCGCACGACTTTCTACTAAAACCACCTACTACATACTCAACGGATTAACTGGTAGGTATGTAAATACCCATAAATAATTAACAATTGCTTATGTATGACGTAAAATATGTTATTTATAGGGTATAAGTATACACATGTGAAATATTATATTTTGTTAAATATCATTACACTACATAATAGTATGTGGCGAGTGCCGAGTATACCTATATATTTATTTATTGTTTAAATTTAAGTTGAGTTTAAATTCAATGATGATATAATATGACGTAAGAACCCATATTATACTATTGTTTGGTTTCGATCGAGTAACACTAGACTTAAAGTCCACAAATTATTGCAACGGACATTTTATATTTTTATATTTTTCTTTCTTCTTTTTTTCGCAAACGACCAGTGTCAGACTATACTACTATATTAATCGATTTATGAATACAAACGTGTTATACAATAACACAGAAATATAACATCTTGCAATATAGTTATTACCTACGTCCCACTCACAGTTCTATTGTATATAATATATATTATAACTTTGGTCTTCAAGGCATAGAATTTGCATTATTTTTTAACACATTGTAGAAAAAAAGTTCTTTCAATATTATTTTGATTATATGCTAATTCAGCGGTCCCCTAACTGTGAGCCGCAATGTATTTACAGGAGCGCCGCCGCGTTGCTGTAGAATTTTATCATCCATCCCATCATTAATTTAATATGTACAAATAAATATTTACCTTTATATTAGTATAACTTATGTCTTTTGACTTATGTATAATCATAAAATTAAGTAAACATTTTCATATTCTATTACAAATTGTTCTGGTTATTATTATAAAAATTATATTTTTTTTAAGGAAGGGCACCCTGTAAATCCCTAATTTCCAAAAGGGTGCTGCAATCTAAAAAAGTTTGGGAACTGCTGCGCACTGTCTATAATGCATGCCCGAAATTATATTTTGTATGTTTGATAGTTTGAGCATTAAACAATAATAAAAAATATGTCTTTAAAATATTCTGTTTTGAGCCCTTTTGAATATTTTTAATGTAGAAACAATCAAGATTGACGACACCATCATATTATTTGCTTATAAAAGTCGTATTTTTGTTATTGAAATAAAAGTGTTAGTATAGGTACTCTTAGGCATATAGAATATGTTTTCATCTTTGTTATTTAAAATCTAATAACTAGTAAAAGTGCACAAGTGCATGTTTTTTATCTGTTTAGATAAATTTTTACTCTGTTGGTGCTTTAAATTTACGACTTCGCTGACATCAGCCATAGTACTATTTACTGTTTTTGAAAAATTTTTGTGACTACCTTATAATATCCACTAAAAAACCAAACTATATGTGTAACGTAAACATATGGCATATTTATATATATAAAATATGTATATAAAATGACTTGTCCTGGGTGATTCATCATCGCCTTGCCGAAACCTCTGAAGCTATGAGTATGAAATTTGAACTGTTATGAGCACCACGGTTTATGGATTGTGATGCCGAGTTATATTTTATGTTGTGTCTTCAGTTATATCCGAAAGACGACAATTTGTTGCTCCGTTCTCTGTAGTAGGTGAAAACCAAATGATGTTTCGTATATTAGCTGATTGTTTATTAAAGAATACACACTTTAAATTAATATAATAATATATATACTTCATTAACTCTTTAAGTTATAATTATTTATTCTGAGTAAGCATACTACTTAACTCGAATGAGTCGGTCACTGGACTGAACAGTTGATAAGACCGATACAGTCACCCTGTCGGCTGTCGCACGTATAAGCAAAAAAGAGATTAGATGCCTACATACCAGCGTCTATAGCCATTTACTATATTATAGTTAATATAAAGACTACCTTTATAGTTTATTCTAAGTTAAACTTAGTGTTGGGTACATAACAGGACAGTAGTTTTGTTTTGTAATGTAGACACCCACTAAAAAAAGGATTTTTCAAAATTCAACCCTTACCGGGGCTAAAAGGAGTAAAAAGAGTAAAAAAAAAGTTACCTAGCCGGAACCATTGAAGATATATGAGTATGGAATTGTGTCGGTAAGTTAATTTTATAATATAAAAACATTAAAAACCCCCTAATACAGGATTTTTCAAAACTCGACACCTACAAGGCTTAAAAGGATTATATATATATAATGTAAAGAAGAAAAAAATATTTGTTTGATCAGTTTAATCTCTGGGACTAAATAACTGATTTTAAAATTTTTATCTTGATTAGTTGCCCTTAATTTTTTTATTGCAAATTTGAGATTTATCATATAGAAAAAATAATATAATGTTAAATATATTTTTGTTTATTATATGGTTGCTAATTGCTATTGGTTATACTATTTAGCATGAATGAATAAAAAATTAGCCATTTGTTTTTAGGCACCAATTTTAAAAATTGTATCACCTTTACAGAGTTAGAAAAGCGATAAAATATTATGATCGAAAATACTTTTAGTCTTGTATTTTAAATGACCGTGTTTAAAATCTTTTATGGAGATAAATATAGGGTAATTCATGGTAATTTGTCTTGAGATATTTTGATCATGATTGGCCGGGTATAACCGACGAATTAAACAAAAAATTTGAATCGTATGGAGGTGGTATTTTTAACGGGCAACGAAGTACACGAGGATCAGATAGTTATATCATATTTTTATTATTTATACGAATGGAATCATAGGATCATATTGTTACTTTGTACGATTTGATCTAATAATACTTAACCTGGTTCTACGTCCAACCACTGTGTTATTTACTTTACCCAGATTTATAAACCATAGTATACACAGCCGTGCAGTGACGGTCGTTATAATAATGTCCTAGGCCTATGTATCGGTTGCAGTTTGGTTGTGTAATAATTTCCTGGTAGCTTTCGTATCCACATCAGTTTTTTTCTTTTTCATAAAAGTAGGTACATGTACGCAATTCATATACATATAGAAATGCTGCAGCATTCACCATGGTACATCGATTTGTAATCAAATCGAGAATACTTGAAGGGGAAATACCGATATTGTTTTCGTTTTTATTATATTTTTTTAGTAATTTCAAACAAATATTATTTTCAAAAGTTATTTTTTCTCGATATTATTTAATATA